CTGTCGGTGCCGGGTGTGCCGGTACCGGGCTGTGCCGGTACCGGGGCACACGCGGGTCCCGCTCCCCCTCAGGACTCACCGAAGTTCCCGCGGCGGCGGCGGCGCAATGGCGGGACAACAGCGCCCCCTGGCGACCGGGACGGGACACGGCGGGAGGAAACGGGACGGGACCGGGACAAGGACCGGGACAAGGACAACGGGACAGGGACAACCGGGGCAGGGCCGGTGCAGGAGCAGGAGCCGGGGCAGGGACACACGGGCAGCCCCGTCAGGACACCCCCACGGCTACTTTGTTCTGGCGATCCGGGGTCCCGCGACCCGGTGCCAGCCGGCCGGGCTCCCGTGTCAGCCTGCCCCTCAAGAACCGCGCGGTACCCGCGGGCTCCCCTTGGGCTGCCCGGTCCTCGCCAGTGCTCCCCCGCCTGTTCCAGTCCGTCCCAGTCCATCCCAGCGCTGACCATCCCCGGGCCCCCGTCCCGGAGCGCCCCCGCGCGGGCAGCATTGGGAGAGCGAGCGGGGCAGGGCCCTTCCGTGACGTCACAGTGACGTCACAGCCACGCCGCCGCCTGGTTGGTCCCCGCGGCCGCCCGTCCCGTGGGGGGGCAGCGCGCGGCCGCCGCCGGAGGTAACGGGGGGGCCCGGGGGTCGCGGCCGCGGCCCGAGGGAGCGGCGGGAGCGGCGGCACCGGGCACCCCCCGGCACCCCCCCGTACCGCCCGGCCCCGCCCTCCCCGGGGGGGGGGGAGGGCCGGGAGGGGCCGGCGGAGCTGCCCGGGCCGGATCCGGGGTAGAGCTGCAGCCGGCGGCCCGTGGGATCCACAGCGCCGCAGGCCTGGAGCGCGGGGGGACTCAGTCCCGGTGGGCGGGAGGCGAAAGGGCCGGGTCGGGCCTTGCACCGGGGACCGCCCCTCGCCCCGGATAGGGCTGCTGTAACACCGCCCGGGCCGGGCATGTGTCCCCCGTGCCCACCATGGCGGCACAGCCATATACCCTCGGCCTGGGGACCCCCGCCCGCAGAACCCCTTCCCCCGCCGCTCCCCGGCCTGCGAGGGGCTCCAGGGCTCGGGCTGAGGGCCCCACACTGAGGTGACCCCCCACGCCGTGTGACCTTCTCCCCACGGCTGCGGTGTCCGTGGGGCGAGTCCTGGCCGTCACCTGCCCGCGGGTACCGGGCACGTTTCAGGGGCTCCTGGGGCAGCAAGAAGGGTTTAGATTCGGGTTTGAGGGGCTGGGTGCTGGTAGCCTGTGACACCCCGAAAAATGAGTCACCAGGGACTCACCAAGCCAAATCCAGGCCAAGGAATGGGGTCACTGCCGAGAGGGTGAGCTTGGGTACCAGCCCGTGAGATCAGACAGGAGCACTGCTCAGATTGGAGCCAGAACCCTCTGTGCGCTGGTTCCACTCGTGGCTCAGCCTCTGAGCTAAGGGGCAGCAGCAGCTCCTGTCCCCCAGCCTCCCTGGAAGTGTCTGTGGGGCTGAGGTGTCTCTTACCTGTGGTTTCCTGGGGCCACGGTCACACTTACAGAACTAGAGGGGTGATTTGGCACTTAAATCCCATCGTCTCTGCTCCTAGATCACAGCGCAGACCAGCTCCTGGCACCACTGAGCCAAACTGGATTTCCACCGGTGACCTGTAAGTTGAGATGCCATATCCCCCTTTCCTATCCCTAGGCTGTTCGAGGCCACGTGGGGCCACCAAACCTGTCTAAGCTGCCATAGAAAAGGCTTTGTGTCTAATGGGGTATTTGCCAGCAAATTCAAGCCACGAACTCTATATATTTCTTTATTTGTGAAGGTGTTTGAAGTCCTTGAATTTACCCTTTGGCCACCTTAAATCTAGTTTCTAATCCCCAGCGCAGTTAATCAAATCTACAGTGGTTTGAATTATGAGATGCCTGGGGGGGATTTATAGCTTGTATTGCTGATTATACCTTGACTTTATTATATTGCAAATATCTAACTTACGGTCACGGCTGAGATTTACAATCCTCAGGTAGGTGCTCAGGATAACTTTTAGCAACTCCAGATGTAATTGGAGGTGACTGATGGGGTTGTCGCCACACATAAACATGTAATCTGTAAAATGTTAAGACAGGGAAAGTAGAGGCAGAATAGGTGAAAAGAGTGGGTCAGCCTTAAAAAGTAATCATATAATTGGGTGTATTGCTGAGTAAGGCTCTGCCATGCTTGTTCTGGCGGAGGCATCTGCCCCAGGAGGAGTTTTGGGCTTGTTGGTCTCCAGAAAGTACCAGGATTTAGATCTGTGTTCCTTCTTGCTTTCAGCTGAAGGGTTTTGGGGTTTGCAGTAGCCCTGGGGAGAGGGAAGGGGTGATGAACAGGTGTGGGGTACTGACAGAGCTGACTCATTCCTCGCTGGTTTGGGGTTCTGCTGTCCCAGGGGAGCAGTGAGTCCCGTGTGGGCGTGTGCCCTCGGCCAGCATGACCAGCGAGGTGGTGGAGAACGAGTTTGAGTTTTACTCCAAGGCAGAGAAGTACTGGAAGGATGTGCCCGCCACAGTGGATGGCATGTTGGGGGGCTACGGCCACATCTCCAGCATTGACATCAACAGCTCCAGGAAGTTCCTGCAGAGGTTTCTGCGGGTAGGTGGCACAGTTTGTCATGCTCCTAAAACCCCACCCTTCTCCCAGCGTGGAGTTGGGCTCTTCCCTCTGCATTGCTCCATGGGATCTTCTGTTGCATGCTGGAAGAGCTTTGCCCTTCCATGCGTTCCCTATGGCCCAGTCCTGCCCTGTGTGGTCGTCCCGTTTCTCTGTGGGTGCCTCGCAGTGGGATTCACCCCTCACGGTGGTTGTTGCAGGATGGCCCCAACCGGACGGGGACAACCCGCGCTCTGGACTGTGGGGCGGGCATTGGCCGGATCACCAAGCGGCTGCTGCTGCCCCTCTTCAAGACAGTGGACATGGTGGATGTGACAGAGGACTTCCTCACCAAGGCCAAGAGCTACCTGGGCGAGGAGGGCAGGCGTGTGCGCAACTACTTCTGCTGTGGCCTCCAGGACTTCAGCCCTGAGCCAAACTCCTATGATGTCATCTGGATCCAGTGGGTCATCGGTGAGGGTCACTGCATGTGGGATCTTTCCAGCCTGTCCTGTTCCCTTGAGGGGCAGGTGCCCTATGCACTGGGGAGAGCAGCTTGAGGTCTGCATGGAGAATGAGCATCACAGCATGGGGGGGAACCTGGGGTGGGCAGCTGCCCCCCATCTCATGGAGAGATGTTCCTGTAGTTTTTCTCCCGTCTCTTCCCCCAAGCCCTCAGAGGCCAGAGCAGAGGTGTGGGTTGGATGGAGTTGTGAGACACAAGTTGGACGCCCCCAAGCTAAAGCTTTCCCTGCAAATATCTCAAGTATTTGGCTGCTTGGATCAGGAGGGATCCCAAATGCAGCTTCTGCATTTTCTCCACTTGGTCATTCTCTGCCCTCTAACCCGTGCTCTGCCCCTCCAGGACATCTCACTGACAACCACCTCTCCGACTTCCTGAAGCGCTGCCGTGCCGGCCTGCGGCCCAACGGCATCGTGGTCATCAAGGACAACATGGCTCAGGAGGGTGTGATCATGGACGATGTGGACAGCAGCGTCTGCCGGGACCTGGACGTTGTCCATAAGATCATCCGCAGAGCTGGGCTGCACCTCCTGGCTGAGGAGCGCCAGGAGAACTTCCCTGATGAGATCTACCACGTCTACACCTTTGCCATGAGATGAGGGCAGCGGGAGAAGGTCTCTCCCGTGTTGTGACTCCCCTTCCAGGGGCTGGTGACAAGGACGGGACTTTGTCTTCCAAGTTGCTGCTGTTTGTGAAAAGAGGTGTTTGCGAAATACATTTTCCTGCTGTTGCACTTCTGCACGTGAGGTTTGTCGGATGCATGTTGGCTCTGTGCCACCCTCAGGGGTTCTGGACAGGAGCAAGAGGGTCTCCCATGCACGAGATGATCCATGGGCAGCAGCAGGTTGCTGACTGCAGTGCACAAAGCTCCTGCTCATGAACAGGAGCTTAGGGCACCTCTGAGATGGACGGGCTCCATTCCTTGCTTGGGTGTTTGACCCCTTCCTGCTGCTCAGCAATGAGCTGGGTAAGGCAAAGGGGAGAAACCTCTGCTGTTTTCCTGCAGTGGTGTGGGGAGGTAACACCGGGTTCTGGGCTTTGAGGGGCCTCACCTTTAAACCCCTAAGCAGGTCTCCTGCATGGGCAGCAAAAAGGGAGGTGTGTGTAACCCTCACATCCTCCTCCAGAGATAGGGGTATCCCAGACAAAGCCTTGCAGCCCTGGGAGTGCACAGATGTGGTCTGAGCTGCTCCCAGACCCCTCCAGCCTGGCACCTCCAGCTCCATTACTGTGACACTGCAGCTGCTCCCCCAGCACCCCACTCCATCACCTGACTTTGAACACTCCCATCTCTTCTTTGGCCATATTCCCTTCATTTACCCAGGTCTGGCCTCTGGCTCAAGGTGGCCAACACCTGGCACAGCAGCATGCCAGGGGTGAGCCCAGGTGCAGTTCGACCCTTCAGCCATCCCCCCATTCCTGTCCTTCACCCCACCTCTCCTAAGGAAAACCAAGCCCCTGGTATAGAAGGCCTCATTTAATTGTTCAGTTCCCATTCCAGACACCAGGGCACAATTTGATCACATTACTGGATTTTTTTAAGCACCAGTTCATCAGTTCCAGTTCCAACTGCCAGTGAATCCCAGATCCACCTGATACAAACTGTCTTTAATCAGAACAGATTTTTCCTCTTCATCTTCTGCATCTGTCCCCATGAGAAACAATACAAACCAACAAAACTGTGTGAGGCTCAGTTCTGTGGCCAGTCTTTGGCACGTCACGAGGAAGCAGGTGTCTAGAAAAGAAGCCAGGCAGCTGTGGCAAGGCTGGAACATGAGCCCTCCAGGGGCAGCAATTTCTTGTTCCTGGGAAGGAGGCACTGGAGAACAAGATCCTGGGAGTGGTCACCAAGGGAAAGAGCCAAGGAATGGGGAGGGAGGCACAAGGCACTCAGCTGCTGACTGCCCATTCCTCATCCTTGCACAGGGAATGCACCATGAAATTAGGAATCATCCTTTTGTGTGTTTTGCAGCCCAGTACCTCTTGAGATATCCTTGGTGGATGGTCCTCTGTGCCAGGATGGGGTGCAGAAACTCAAAGGGAACAGAGCAGTCAGGTACTGCTGCCAGCCCCACTTCCCTTCCCTCCCATCCCTGGTGTCAGAAGTCCATACTGAGCAAGGAAGGCATCCACAGCCACAGGATGATGCCAGACCTGCTTCCACCACCAGGACCAGAGGCAGGAAAGCCAGAACACTTTCCTTTTCCCAGCACTTCTGAGGCATCTCTCAGCTCCACTGGACACCTAAGGCACTGCACCACTCATAGCAGGGCTGGGAGAAAAGGGACAGGCTGCCTGTCCAGTCACAGCCCCCAACCCACTGATCCTGTCCCCAAGTCTTTGCTTAATCTCCTTCCAAACCAGCCCCAATATCCAGCTCCCCCATGCCCAGGAGCTCTGCCTGCCTTCCCATGACGTGCCCCAGAGCAGCGAGACCTTCACAAACACACGTGTGACGCTGTACCCAAGAAAACACCCTCAGAATGCCACAGAGAGGGACTCCATGGGCAGCACCTCTTGCTGCAGAGAAAACTGTCTCAGAGCAGAGATAGGGTGGCAGTAGTCCCAGCAGGGCTGTGGAGGGAGCAGACAGAGGCACTGTCAGGCTCACAGGTCCTCGTGCCCAGCAGCAGCGTGGTCGATGAGGAGGTACCACTTCAGCCGGTCTGGGAGAGGCAGAGCCTTGATTTTGTCATCCACAGGCCACGGTTTCAGGCGCTGCCTGATGAACACCCTGCAGAGGTGTTTCAGTGCCTGTGGCGAACGCTCCAGCTGCTTCAGAGAGCAGAACAGAGTCTGGACCTTCTCCCCATGGAACCTACAGCTGCTGGTGTTGACCTCAAAATTTCTGGGCAGTTGGATGGCTTGTGAACTGGCCATCATGAGCTCCAGCAGAGTCTGACCCTTCTGGATGAGGTCTGAGGAATAAGTTTCATCGTCGAAGCGACTGAGGTGCCAGCAGAGGTGCTCAAAGGCGATGTGGAAGCCGGACCAGCACGAGGGACCATGGAGGGAGCAGTTGTAGGCAGCACCTGACTCCAGCAGGAACCGCAGCAGTGGGAAATAGTCTTTGAAGCTTTTCAAGCAGAAATGTGTGAGGGACTCTGAAGCTGGGCACTCGCTGGGGTTGGCACCGTGGGCCAGCAGCAGCTGCGTGACACGGAAGCAGAAGCGCTCGATGTCCTCGGCCTCCTCCTCGGTGTAGCTGTACGCCATCTCTCCCAGCAGGTAGATGACATAGGTGAAGACAGTGTCACCATCTTTGGTGGCAGCCCTAACATCTGCGCCTGCAGGAGGGGACAGAGAACGTAACTGACACTGCAGAGTGAGGCCAGGCCAGCACCAACTCCAGCATTCCTGGGTTTTACTCTGATCCAGGAGGGCAGTGCCTAGTGCTGCACAAAAAATCAGCCAGCCCAGAAAAGGGAGAAGGTTTTCTTTACCTCCTTCCAGCAGGAGACGGATGCTGTCGGTGTTGTGGATCTGGCCACTGTCACTGCTGGCCAGGGCATGCAGCAGTGCTGTCTTCCCTGCAATGGAGCAATCACTCAGTCACAGGACAACAGGGTGACACCCCAAAAGGCAGGAAGGAAAACAATCCACCCCACCAACCAGAAAGCCAAACACAGGGAATGACAACCCTTCTTCTGGCAGAGGCTTCCACTGTCCCCACGATGGTGCCCAGCTGTGGGAACAGTCACAGGCCACATGTGCAGGGCTGGTGGTGGCCTCAGTGGGTGCATGTGCCGTGACAGAGTGAGTTTTAGAATAAGTGGGCATCACAGGACAACAGAGGCATAGCCCCATCCCACCTCCCCTGGACTGCACTAAGTTCAGCCCTTTTCACACAAGCCAGCACACCAGGAGAAAACACCGAGCATAGGGATATTCTGCCAGCTTCCTCCCAACTCCCAAACCCATCTGTAAGCAGGGAGCAGGTACAGCAGCAAATGGCCCCAGCCCTGTGCCCTGCCCCAGCCCACCCTCAGCTGAGGGAGCTGGGCAGGGTGCACAGACCGTTCTTGTCAGCAGCATTGACATCGGCTCCCAGCTGCAGCAGCCGCCGCAGGCACGGCAACCGCTCGGGCTCCTCGCTGGCCAGGTCCAGGGGACTGCTCTCATGGATCTGCAAAACATTAAAAAACACTGGTAGATATTGGAGACTGTGAGTATCTGCAGAGTCACTCTTGAAGCTTTATCTTGACCACAGTAAGAGTATCTCTCCAGCCTCCTCCCACACATCGCTCCAAGGCAGGGGCTCAGCCAAAGGCAACTTGACCTTCTGCCACAGCATCAGAGCACTACGGACAGCGGGCACAGGGATGAGCCAAGGGGAAGGGACAGCGGGCACAGGGATGAGCCAAGGGGAAGCAGCACGCAGTGAGGCTCGGGAGGAGAGAAGCAGGAGAGCTGTCCCCACACATCAGAGCAGCTGAGGCTTGGGGGGCTCAGCCTGGCCACGGCCAGGCAGTGACACCATACCCGGTCTCTGCGGTTGATGTCGGCGCCGTGCTGCACCAGCAGCTCCACCACGTCCGGCTGGTTCCGCAGCACTGCCATGTGTAGGGGCGTGTAGTAGGTGACAGGGTCTGAGGATGAAAACAGTCAGAGAGAAAAAAGGCCAAAATGGCCTCACTGCTGCCAAGAGTGGAAGGGGACAGCTGGGGAGGGCCCTGGGAGCACAGTGATGCCTGTGAAAACAGGGCTGTCACAGGCATCCTGGGTCCTGCTGTTCCAATGTCTCCATCTTGCCAAAAGTCCCCAAGTCCCTGGTGTCCCTCAGTCCATCCACACTACTGCAGCAAGGAGCAGGAGTGGTCTGAGCTGATAGCACCCCCTCTTTTTGCCCCAGCTATCCCCACTCCCAGGGCAGCTTCTCATCTGCTGGTTCCTCCTCCTGGCCCAGTCCCCATCCCACCAGCCTCACCTTCAAAGCTGAGGTCAGCACCGAATTCCAGGAGGATTTCTGCAGCAGGAACGAGCCCCAGCTCAGTGACCTTCAGCAGGGCATAGCTCACACCTTCGTGATAAAATGGGGAGTGGGTCTCCCTCTCCAGGACTCGTCTCACAGCTGAGAGCTGGCTCCTGTCACTGTCCAGGCAGGCAGGGCTTGAGACACAAAAAAACCCAGCAGTTACACAGTGAACATAGTTCAGGTGTGCAAGGGTCAAAGTAGCATCAGGGAAGAAGGAAAATCCCTGGTCTTCCCTCTGGTCCTATATCCAGTGGGTCTCCAACCTGCTGGCTGTGGGGTTACACAGCACCTTCAGGGCCTCAGCTGAGCCCCAGTTTAGGCTTTGTTGCTGAGGTCAGGCAGACGGGCTGTTCCTGGGGAGCACCCATAGTTCCTGTGTTTGCCTTGCTCCACCTGCACGTTCCCAAAGAACAGCAGCAAAAGGAGGGTCTGTGGGACGAGCTGCTCCCCAGGACTGGGGGCTGTCCCAAGCCAATGTTGTCAGACCTTGGGCACATCTCTGAGCTCCAACCATCCCCCAAAAACACCCTGAGGTGTTCAGTCCCCCCCTGCTGTTACCTCTCCAGGGAGCTCTGCTTTTCTGTGTCAGGCGTGGCCAGCAGCCTCAGGAGCTCATCCACCAGGGGCTGGTACTCCAGGACGATCCTGCGGAAGCCGTGCAGGAAAGGCATCGTGCTCTGCCTGCCCGGGGGCCTCCAGCACGGCACTGCTATCTTCCCTCCCAGGCTCCCTCTCCAAAGGGCTTCTCCCTCCTTTCAAAACAAACAAGGCTTTCAGCAGGTTTGAACGTAGAAGAAAACACAGCCTCCCCCCTCCTTACATAAAGACAGCCCAGCCCAGCGCAGGGATCTCCACCCACACACCAATTCGGTGTCCCCAAATTATCTGCTGCACGCAGAGCTGCACACTGCAGTTATCTGGGCACACTCCAGGCACAGCCCAGGATGGGCACAGAGCCCCTGTGCAGAGGGGGCTCCCACAGGCTGGGAGTGCTCTGAGTGCTCCAGAGTGTCTGTCACCTGCAAAGCCCTGCCTGGCTTTTATGGGAGAGGGCGCTGAAGCCACCCAAGAAGCCTCTCAATCTCCCTGCAGCCACGGGGAGAAAAGGCCAGGAGCCCTCAGACCTTGCCTAGAGATCACTACACAAAAAATCTGTAAAACGTCCATTTATAACATCAGGTACAGCTGGGGGAAAAAAAACCCCAAACGAGTCCATAAACCCCACTTGGTTTTCACAAATAAACACTCACAAATTCCAGTGCAACCCCCGCCGAGCAACACGGGGAGGGAAGGGAGGCCCCGGCACCGCCCTCCCCTCACGGTTCACCCCCAGCCCTGCCGCCCCTCACCTGCCTGGGCACCGCAACCGGAACCGGAACTGAAACGGGAACCGGAACCAGAACGCGCCAGGAGAGGGGGCGCACAAGGGGGCGGGGCCTCGCCAGGGGGTGCGGTCTCGGTTAGGGGGTGTGGTCTAGGGTATGGGGGTGTGGTCCGTTATGGGCGTGGTCTAACGGGAGGGCGTGGTCTAACGGGAGGGCGTGGTCTAACGGGGGGGCGTGGTCTCGCGGGAGGGTGCGGTCGCAAAGCTGCTGAGTCGTGTGGGCGTGGCCTCAGTGGGCGTGGCCCAGCGAGCGCGGCCGGCAGGGGGCAGGACGCGGCCGCGCGCGGGAGGGGGAATCGGCCCCGGCACCCCCGGTGTCCCCCCCTCTGTCCCCGGCACCCCCGGTGTCC